ATAAATATATATATATATATATATATATATATATATATGGGCACCTGGGGTGTATCTGCACCTCACAAAGTGAGAGGCTTGGAGTGTACGTGCATCTCAGGTGTATGCATGCAAAGCATTGAGAAGTAGAGTGTGTATATTTGGGGTGTCTATACACCTCAGATGGCTGTGCAGTTTGTTTGTTTTGCTTTGTTTATATCTAAAGGAGCAAGAAGATTATTTGCTTCAGCTTGAAAGTAAAGGAGAATCTCCGAAGGGCACAGCCTTGTTTAGACCGAATGCTGGTGAGACAAATAAACTCAGGTGTACAGGCACCTCTTCAGCATGCATTCAGGTGTATGTACACCTCAATTGCAACACCAACCATCACAACCCTGCATACACCGCAACGCTCGACATTATACCGTCAGTGAGCTGCATTGAGGTGTATATGCACCTCAGTGAGGTGTATGTACACCTCATTGAGGTGTACATACACCCCAGTCATGTTTGTATGCATCGTTTACTTTATTTACTTGTCTTATGCATAAATAAATAAATGTATAAATATATATATATATATATGTCTATTTGCTTCTATCTCTCTTTCTTTCTCAGCTCTTTCTGTCTCCTCTTCATTAATTCACCCAAGCGGCGTTCGTCAAGATTTTTATTTTAATATTTGTGCTCTAGAAGCTGTGCATACACCCGAACTGCAGCAGCAGCAGCAAAGAGGGGTCTCTGTCTCTCTACCCTTTCTCGCAACCCCCCCTAGACTAACAAGAGATGAAAGTAATAATAAACAAAATTATAAAAACAAAATAATTTAAAGTATTTTTCTTTAGCCACTACAACAAATACAATTACCCTTGTTCTCCTTCTCTTTGTTACGTGTATAAACACATATCTTTTATGAATATATATATATATATATATAACATATATATATATATACGTATATATATATGTATATATATAACATATATATCCGTATATACATATATATAATTACTCATGAATATAATACATATTCAAGCATATATATATATATGCATATATATACATATATATGCATATGTGTACATATATATATATATATATATATATTATTTATATGTGCATGCAGATATTTTAAATATATCTCTATCTTTAGAGTTTGTGGGTGTTATGCATACACCGCAAATGCTCTTTTATCCCTTTGTTAATAACCTTTAATAAGTTTTATTTGGGGTGTATAGGCAGCTGCATGCATGCGTTTGTATCTGTGAAAATCAGAGAAATCTTCTTCTTGTCTCATAACCCAGGTGTGCGTACACCCCAACACCGTCGATCTCATTAGAAGTAAGAAGCTGCAGTCTTTGTTTATTTTTATTATCTTTTTATTTTAACTCTAAAGGTAGAGATATATTTAAAATATCTGCATGCACATATAAATAATATATATATATATATATGTACACATATGCATATATATGTCAGTTTTATTTAATCTTGCTTGTCTTTGTTTATTATTATTATTATTATTGCGATGTATATGCTGCAGAGGAGCTGTCTCTTCTTTCTTTGTTGCTGAGTAGAGCTGCAGAGACACTCGAAAAAGATTACTTTAAAGGGGAGACAGTCTCTAGAGGTGAATGAAAATATAAATCTGTCTCCTTTTTATTGTTTATTTCTTTTGTTTTTCTTTTTGTTTATTTTGCTCTGTACTTTGTTGTTTACTTCTTGTTGGGTGTATTTGTTTGTTTATTTTTATCTCTCTTTGTTGCTATCGGTTTGTTTATTTTCGTTTATTTATTTCTATTGGTCTTTGTTCACTGTATTTGCTGCTGCTGCTGCATTTGCTGCTGCTGCTGCTGCTGCATTTGCTGCTGCATTTGCTGCTGCTGCTGCTGCTGCTGCTGCTGCTGCATTTGCTGCTGCTGCTGCTGCTGCTGCATTTGCTGCTGCTGCTGCGTGTGTGTGCGTTGCATGCAGACTTTTCTTTGTTAGATGTCTCTTACGTTGGTGATGGAGGCGTTTCTCTTGTCTCTCTTCCGACAAACTCGCTGCAGCAAAACTGGGCTCGTTATCGCTGTCAGCAGCAGCAGCAGCAGCAGCAGCAGGAACAGGGGCAGCAGCAGGAGCAGCAGGAGCAGGGAGTTGGTGGGTGCAGCAGCAGCTTAGCTGTAGTCTCCCTCCTGTCTCTTTTCTGTCTCCTTTTTATTTCTTAGCACACGCACTCGTTGCTTCTGTCTAACATGTCCTTGCTGCTGCTGCATTTGCTGCTGCTGCATTTGCTGCTGCTGCATTTGCTGCTGCTGCATTTGCTGCTGCTGCATTTGCTGCTGTTGCATTTGCTGCTGCTGTACTTGATGCTGCTGCATTTGCTGCTGCTGCGCTTGCTGTTATTCAGTGGGCATAAAGGAGGTAAAGAGACTGAAGAGACAGGCAAAGAAAGAAGCAAAAATAAAGCACCGACTGCAGCTAGAGCAACAGCAGCAGCAGCAGCAGGATGAGCAGCAGCAGGATGAGCAGCAGCAGCAGAAGCAGCAGCAGAAGCAGCAGCAGCAGGAATGGGCGACGTATTCAATTGTATATTCTGGGAAAGTTGAAGTTGGAGAACTCGTCGCTGATGACCTCCAGGAAGGCCAAGGGTTTAGGGTTTAGGGTTTAGGGTTTAGGGTTTAGGGTAAAGGGCTTAGCCTGCTGCTGACAACCCAAGGTCTATGGATTAGGGTCTAGGGTTTAGGGTTTACGGCTGAGGGTTTGTTATGCAGACAGCACATCAAGGAAGCTCTACTGATGCACTGCGCGTTGAGATCAGCATACCCTCTGTGGTGCCTAAACCCTAAACCCTAAACCCTAAACCCCAAACCCTAAACCCTAAACAGTTGGATGTACATCAAGCCGTAAACCCTACTACTTGTTTAAAGACTTAATGCATCCGCTTCTACGTACTTAGCAAGCAGCTCCAACCTGTAATCAGGGTTTAGCGTTTAGGGTCTAGAGTTTAGGGTTTAGGGTTTAGGGTTTAGGGTTTAGGGTTTACGTTTCAGGCCCATCCGTCGGCTTTGTCTGTAGAGTGGAAGTCGCCTAAGAAACTTTACCTTTGCATGAAGAACAACCCGGAGCAAAACATTGTACGCGCTGCTGCTGCTGCTGCTGCTGCTGTTGGTGTTGCTGCTGCTGCTGCCGCTGTTGCTGCTGTGCTGCTACTGCCGTTGCTGCAAGCACCTTGTGCTGCTGCTGCTTCCGATTCCGATGCTGCTGCGATCCTTTTGGCAGCTGTCGTTTATAATGCTGCTGCTGTTGCTTCTGCTGTTGCGGCAAGCGCTTGGTGCGGCTGCTGCTGCTGCTGCAGCTGCTGCAACCGCTTGCTGCTGCTGCTGCTGCTGCTGCTGCTGCTTGAAGGTGATTGAGTTGCCTCTGGAAGTCGATAGGTCTGCTGCAGCAGCAAAGTTCATTACAGCCAAAAGACAGCTGAATATTGAGGCCCCTGTTGTTGCTGCTGCTGCAGACAGTAGCAGCAACAGCAGCAGCAACAGCAGCAGCAGCAGCACTTCGAAGTTGCCGCATGCCTTTGCTGCTTCAGCAGCAGCGGATGGAGGCAGTCTAGAGGAGGCAACTGAAGCAGCAGCAGCTGAAGTAGAAGCAAAAGATACTGCTGAAGCAGCAGACATAGCAGCAGCAACAGGAACAGCGACAGCAGCAGCAGCAGAAGCAGTAGACGCAGCAGCAAATGATGCATCACTTAGCCTACCCTCCAAAGCAGCACCACCAGCCTCAGCGGCGGCTGCTGCAGATGCAACAGCAGCAGCTGCGGCAGCAGAAACAACAGCTGCAGCTGCAACAGCAGCCACCCCAGCAGCAGCTGCAGCAGCAGATATCGCATGCAGTGCTGCAGCACACACAGCAATTGCTTCTGCAGCAAACACAACAATTCCTGCTGCAGCAAACACAACAATTCCTGCTGCAGCAAACGCAGCATTTGCTGCTGCAGCAGTAGACGCACAAACTGCTGCAGCAAATGCAGCAACTGCTGCAGCAGCAGAGACGACATCTGCAGCAGAAACGGTAGCTGCTGCTGCTGCAGAGACAAAAACTGCTGCAGCAGCAGAGACAACAGCTGCTGCTGTAGGCGACACAGCAAGTGATGCGACAGCAGATGCAGCAGCAACTTCAGCAGCAACTGCTGTAGCAGCAGATGCAGCAGCAACTTCAGCAGCAACTGCTGTAGCAGCAGATGCAGCAGCAACTGCAGCAGCAACTGCTGCAGCAGCAGATGCAGCAGCAACTGCAGCAGCAACTGCTGCAGCAGCAGATGCAGCAGCAGATGAAGCAGCAACTGCAGCAATAGATGCGGCAGCAGATGAAGCAGCAACTGCAGCAACACATGTAGCAGCAGATGCAGCAGCAGATGCAGCAGAAAGTCCATCAGCAACTGCTGCAGCAGCAGATGCAGCAGCAACTCCAGCAGTAAGTGCCGCGGCAGCAGATGAGGCAGCAACAGATGCAGCAGCAGATGAAACAGCAGACGAAGCAGCAACTGCAGCAACAGATGCAGCAGCAGATACAGCATCAACTCCAGCAGCAACTGCTGCATCAGCCGATGCAGCAACAACTCCAGCACCGACAGCAGCAGCAGAGAAGATCGCAATGCCCCAGCAGTTGCAGCTGTTGCAGTGCCGTGAGGGGCAGCAGAATGTGCTGCTGCTGCTGCTGCTGCCGCAGCAGCACAGGCCCCTAAAAACAACTCTCTCGCTAGAGAGCGGCATAGTATGACAACATGAAGACCGTGCTGCTGCTGCTGCTGCTGCTGCTGCTGCTTATGCTGCTGCTACTTCTGCTGCAGCTGCTTACTTTGGCTCCTGCTGCTTGTAATGTTGCTGCTGCTGCTGCTTCTGCTGTTGCCTCTATTGCCGAGCCTCAGCGTACTTATTGCTGCTGCTTCGGTTGCTTTTGCTGCTGCTTGTGCTGCTTCTGCTGCTGCTTGTGCTGCTGCTGCTGCTGCAGCTACTTGTGAAGATCATCTCTGAAGGACCGAGTGAATGCACCCTTTCTGCAGCAGCAGCAAATGAGCATGACGGCGAAGCAACAGCAACTGCTGCTGCTCCTGCTGCAGTAGCAACGTCGAGTGGATGCGAAAGTGCTTCTGCTGCTGCTGCAACGACACAGCAGCAGCAGCAGCAGCAGCAAGAACAGCAGCAGCAGCAAATTTTCGAGTGGTGTTGGGCGGGAGTGCCTCATGGAGAGCTTGACTTGAGGCAGCATAGGCTGAGCCCCGCTGCTGCTGCTGCTACTGGCTCTGCTGCAGCTGCTGCTGAGCCTGCTGCTGCTGCTGCTGACACTGGCGTTGCAGCATTGCGGTTTTCTGCACCTTCTGCAGCAGCAGACCTGCCAGACGCGGACCCAGCAGCAGGAGCGGCAGCAGCAGCAGCAGCAACAGGAACGAAGAAAGTTGAAGCTCCAGCAACACCGGCAGAGACCTCCATGACAGCAGCAGCAGCAGCAGCAGCAGCAGCAGTTTGGCGGCTGGTTATTCGTAAGAAGCAGCCGAAGGTGTGGGGCGTTGAGCCCATTGCTGCCTGCAGCTTGGAGCAACTGCAGCGGCAGCAGCAACAGCAGCAGGAAGAGGAACAGCAGAAGCAGCAGGAACAACTGCAGCAGCAGCAACAGCAGCAGCTGGAGGATGAGGAGGCTGCTGCAGAGGTTGGGGAACTGGTGAATGCAGCAGAAACAGCAACAGAAAAAACGACTCAAGAGGAAGCAACAGCAGCAGCAACAGCAGCTGCAGCAGCTGCAGCAGCAGCAGCAGAAGTAATTCAGTTCCCTTTAGGCCCGTTCCTGGTGCTTGAGAATTCTCTGTGGCGGCAGGTTGTCTAGGGTTTAGGGTTTAGGGTTTGTGCAAACCCTAGACCGTAAACCAAATGCATTTAATATACAATTCATTTGCAGCAAACCCACGGGGTGTATGTACACCTCAGTTACATTCAAATTGCGTTGCTTTGACTCTCTTTCCTCAGCAATACAGGAGAACTCCTTCCCTTTAGCTAGCTGTAGCTAGCCAGCTAGCTAGCTGCAACTAACCAAGGGGAGTTATAGCTGCAGCTAGCTGCAGCAGGAACAGCAAGCAGCAGCAAGCTGCAGCAAACTGTAGCTAGCTAAACATGCGTACTATCTAATAGTATAGATGGAGCTAGCTAGCTGCTGCATGGGGGCATAGGAGTGTGTGCAGCATATAAAAGGAATTCATCGCCTTGCTGCGGTGTATATACATCTCTTTGGGTGTATATAGTTGAGACAGTTTTTTTGTTTGTCTTCGTTGGGGTGTATAGGCAGGTGGTGTCTACGCGCCATTCAACTAATGCAAAGAGGCGAACATAAAGCGGGTTTTATATCTCCATTAAAACATATTTAGTACTACTAATGCTGCTGCTCTCGCTGCTGCTGCTGCAGCTGTTGCTGCTGCAGCAGCAGCAACAGCAGCGACTAGTGCATGCGTTTGCTTCGTCTGAGGGTCCCTGGATGATTCTTTGGGCTGTTTTGTCTCTTTTATATATTTCTCCTTTAACATTTTTCTTTTTTGTTGAAGAAGCTGTTATAAAAACTGAATAAGGAGGTGTACGTACACCCGAACTCCTATACCCTCATCTTTCTCGTGTGGAAGCCCTTTGGTTTATCTGTTGTTTGCTTGTTCTGTTTGCATTTGTTTTTCTGTTTTTATTTCTTTTTATCTTCTTATTTAATCTTTACTTACTATTTACTGCTCTCCCGTACTCCTCAGGTGTCTGTGCAGCTCCCTACTGAAGGCAGCGGTTGCTGCGGTGTATATTCAGCCAGCAGCAGCAGCAGCAGCAGCAGCATATTAAAGATGAAGATTTTGTTTTTGTTTGGTTTGCATGTCGTGTTATGCAGTTTGTTTATGTTGCTGCTGAGAATATATAGTTATGTATATGCATATATAAATGTGAATGCATAGCTATAATATATAAGAATATATTGATATATGTATATAAACATAATAAATATTGATGTAAATATATAAATATTTATATATATTTATATCTATAAATATAATAGATATAAATTTATATGTATCTATATAACTATATTTATTGTTATCTGGCGTAGCGTTCTATTTCTTTTTCTTTTGTATATTGTTATGATTATTTTATTGTATATCTTCTTTATATTTTACTGCATCTCTCTTTCATTGTTTTTCTGTATATACTTTTATAATTATAATCTGTTGCATGTTTGTTTTATTATATCTTGCGGTGTATATTACTTCATTTGTTTTTCTGCTGTTTGTTTTTTATTGCTTTGTTTGTTTTTATGTTGTACATCGTCTTGATTATTTTTTATCTATTTCTTTTCTTTTATTTCTGTCTTGTTTATTTTTTAAGGCTCTTCTTCTGCTGTATATTCTTTTAATTATATTACTTTGTTTTTTGTATATTCTTTTAATTATTTTATTGTTTCTGCTGTATATTCTTTAATTGTTTTGTTGCTGTTTATTGTTTTATTTGTTTTATTACTGTATATCCTTTTAGTTGTTTCTGTTTATTTATTGATTATTATATAATTATAATATATAACTATAATTATATATTATAATTATATATTATAATTATATATAATATACATATATATTTGTTCTATTGCTGTATATATGTATCCCTCTAGTTGTCTTTGTTTATTTTTTGTTGAATGTATTTAGTGTATTTGTTATATTATATTATATAATTATGCTTTTAATTATTTAGTTTGTTTATTTATTTAATATTATTTGTTTATGTTGCGCTTAGGCAGTAAAAAACAGCGAAGATGGATCCTCTGCTGCTGCACTCGCCTCCGTTATACTCTGTCTATTCTTCTTTCTTTTCTCGCATGCATTATCTCCCCGACAACAACAACAACAACAACGACAATAACAATAATAATAATAGTAATAATAATAAAAAGCATCAGCCGCGGTTGCTGCGGAGCCTACTTCCTCTCCCAGCAACAGCAACAGCAGCAACAGCAGCAGCAGCAGCACCGGCTCGCTTAGACCAGCCTGAGAACTGGCGAATCTTTATGGGGGGTCATGACCCTGCAGCGCCGTTTGCTGAGGCTTTGATTAATCTGCACAATCACAACGTCATGTGGATGATTTTCGTCACATGTTCGGTTCTGTGGCCCTTCAGATGCAGACATTAAACCGCCAATACAATTCCTCCTCCTCCTCCTGCTGCTGCTGCTCCTGCTGCAGGAGCTGCTGCAGGAGCTGCAGCAGGAGCTGAAGCAGGAGCTGCGGCAGGAGCTGCTGCATGAGCTGCAGCAAAAGCTGCAGCAGGAGCTGCTACAGGAGCTGCTGCATGAGCTGCAGCAAAAGCTGCAGCAGGAGCTGCAGGAGGAGTTGCGGTAGCAGCTGCAGCAGGAGCTGCAGCAGGAGCTGCAGCAGAAGATGCGACAGCAGCTGCGGTAGCAGCTGCGGTATCAGCCGCTGCAGGAGCTGAAGCAGGCGTTGTGGCAGCTATGGCAGTAGTCGCAGCAGCAGCTGCAGCAGGAGATGCAGCAGGAACAGCGGCAGCAGCAGGAGCTGCAGCTGGAGTAGGAGCAGCAGCAGCAGGGGCAAGGCAAGGAGCAGCAGTAACTGCTGCTGCAGCAACAGCAGCAGCAGTAGCTAAGAAAGCGAGAAGAAACGAATTAGAGTGTCTCTACACCTGAAGATGCGCCGACAGACCACTGGTCTGCCTGCCGCTGCTGCTGCTTCTGCTGCTGCATGCATGCATCTTCATTCAGCAGCAGTTGTTTTGTTTTGTGATGAATTATGTCCTTCTGCTGCACCTGTAAATACAGTTTGCTTCCGATTAAAAACAAAAACTTTTTTATGTTTATATCCGCATGCATGCAGCCTCCTCTCACGCAAGTGGTTGTTTGTATAAACATAATAAATATATTTAACTGTAATAAAACATAAATTGCACAATCTATATCTTATTACCTTTAGATATAGCTTGTACAGTATATATATAATACACAACAAATATAGATATATACGATATATATATATATATATTGTATATATTATATACATACGTTATTTTTATTATCAATAAGTAGAATTGACACGATATATACATATACATATACGTATAATTATATAATATATATAGGTAGGTAGATATAAATATACAGATATATATGGAGGTAGAATAAACATTTTTTTAATTTAGAGATGAAAGAAACATAATAGATGCTGTTTAAAGAGGGACAGTAGACAACAGAGAGAGGAGACAGCTTATGCAGCAGTTTCTGTTTAAACAAACAGAAGAGACAGCACTCTTTGCGAGCTAAACACCTCCCATTATGCATGCACAAGGAGACACAAGGGGCTTCCTTTTGCTGCTGCAGACGCATGCATTGAAGCAGCAGCAGCAGCAGCAGCAGCAGCAGCAGCAGCAGCAGCAGCAGCAGCAGCAGAGGGATGCTTCATCGATACCAATAAAAAAGAGATGCAGAAACCAAAAACAGAGGATCTAGGACGTTTAAGGTTTAGGGTTTAGGGTTTGGTTAGGGGTTAATTTCTAATGTTATGCAGAGCAGCTAGCAGAATTCAGGATTTAGGGTTTAGGGTTTAGGGTTTAGGAAGCAGTAAGTATATCCATTGAAAGGGGTCTATTACGAATTGTTGTATTGCAGGTGATTTGTTCAATGAATTAACATTTCAACAAAAGTTTTCTCTAATTTTCTTCTTTATATGAATATTTTATTGTTTTATTTCTGCAATGCGGTGTATGTACAGCCGGTAGGGCCGCTGGCTGGCTGAGATGGTCTGTGTATGGTTGTAGTATTTGTTTGATTTGATTTGTGTGTAATATAGGGAGTATTTCGCGTGTAAAAGTACTTATTTGGTGTATTTTTGTCTATTTCATTCGATTCTGAAGTCAAAAACACCTTTTTTATTCTCTTTTCCCTTTATTTCGCCGGTTTTCTCATTCTGCTCGCAGCCATGGGGGAGCAGCAGCAGAACCCAGTGGTCTTAAAGGCTGTCTTCTTTGGCGACGACTCAACAGGTAATTAAAAGTAAATTTAAGGATAAAATAAGTAATAATAAAATGAATTTAATTGTGAAATAAGTCAATTTATTCATTTGCAGCTACACGCATGCAGAAGCACAGACACCCCAGTCAAGCGTTCAGAAATAAAGCAGAAAAAAATAGAAAGCAGAACGAAACAGAAGAGGAAAACAAAACAAACAACAGATATCCAGACAAACCAACAAAAGAAGAAACAATTTAACGAAACAAATCTCATCAGCAAGCGCTGGGCAAAAGCAGTAAAATTGTTTGCATATTCGGGTGTACGTGCAGCTTCGAAGTGGTGGCTGTCTCTGCTGCAGCAGAGCCCTGGAATTGATTTGTTATATATCTGGACAAAGAAGAAAGAGACAGCAGAGTTGCTGCTGCTCTCCTCAGACGTTTCAGGTGTACGCACACCTCAAATCGTGTGGGGAGATGAACAGACAGCACACGGGAGAAAAAACTTAAAAACACTTATTCAGTCTCCTGATGCTGGCTGCTTCATTATTGCTCTCCCTTCCGAACAACATGTACGTCCTGCTGCTGCCGCTCCTGCTGCTGCTGCTGCTGCTGCTGCTGCTCGTTTTGCTGCTGCTGCACGTGTGCATTCTTCGCCCTCTGTATGCATTCATATATATATATATATATATACATATATCTCTTTGCATATATATATATGCGTGTGTACATATCTATATATATATATATTTTCTCCATTGGTCTCTATCCATATATTATTTTTTCTGTATTTGTTTGTTTATTTACTGTCTCTTCTGTTCTGTAGGCGGATATACTGGAGACAGTTTTTTCTTTTGCAGAAGGAAGAAGAAAACATATCTTTTCTTGCACTCCACCAACCCTTCATCCTATGCGCATGCAGCAGCTGCTGCAGCTGCAGCAGCAGGAGCAGCAGCTGCTGCCGCAGCAGCAGAAGCAGCAGCTGAAGCAGCAATTGAAGCAGCAGCAACAGCAGCGGCAGCAGAAGCAGCACCAACCGCACCACCCCCAGCAGCAGCACCCGCAAGAGCAACAGCAGCAGCAGCAGCAGCAAATAGGGGTTTGGTCTGTGTGCAGCTCATTCGTACATGAAGTCTCCTGCAGCAAAACAAAAGCTATACTTCTTGACTTAGGGCCTCTGGTGTCTGCGCAGATTTGCTGCTCATCTTTTATGCAAAACCAAGCAGTAGTAGAGTGCTGCAGTGTCTCTAGTCAACTTAAACAACAAACATTCACAGGTCCTCTAAACCCTAAACCCTTTAAACCCTAAACCCTTGCGCAAGAAACCCTAAACCCTCAAGCAATAGCCCCTAAACCCTTAATTATCAAACAACAAACATTCATAGGTCCTCTTAACCCTAAACCCTATAAACCCTAATCCATTTACCCTATACCCTAAACCCTTGCACAAGAAACCCTAAACCCTAAACCCTCAAGCAGTAATCCCTAAAGCCTTAATACACACGCACACAAACCCTAAACCCTCACAGAATAAACACTCACATGTCCGATAAACCCTAAACCCTAAACCGTCAAAGCTAAGACCCTAAACCTTAAACCCTTGACGCAGAAGCCATAATGTGTGAATAAACCCTAAACCCTGAAGACAAGGAAAACCTCAAACCCTAAACCCTCAGTCTAAACCCTGCGTAGACAGAACCAAACCCCCTCGTTCTAAGCCCTAAAGAGGGGGAAGACCCCATACAAAACCCTAAACCCTAAACCCTAATTTTGTGGTTTGCTGCAGAGTTGATGCGCGGCAGCTGCTGCAGCATTCTTGCATTATTGAGAGAGTTGTTTGGGGATATCTCTTCTTTGTCTGGTGTATGTTCACTGGACTCAGGTATATTTGCATGCATTTTTACATCTTTTTGAGGGTTTAACATGTACATATATATATATATATATATACGTTTTCATATATAGCTGTGTTTATATTTCTCATATGTACATTTTTTCATGCATACAAGTGCATGCATACATGCATAAATATATATATATATATATATATATATACATATATATGCATACATATAAAGCGTATCTTAATTTATAAGTAAATATATATATATATATATGTATATATATAATTGTATATATATATGCATACATATAAAGCGCATCTTTATTTATAACTAAAATGTATATATATGTGTATATATATATATAATTGTATATATATATATATATGCTTGTGTCTCTGTTTGTGCAGCAACTCTGGCAGGCCGTTTGCACTTTGAGAAGGGCCCCTGCGTCTCTTTGCAGCTCGATTTGCATTCTCCTGTCTCTAGCTTTGAATTTACAGTGTGGGGGATAAAGGGACATGCCAAGGTGTGCATACACCCCAAACCTAAACCCTAAACCCTAAACCCTAGTCAGAGGCAACGAACAGTTCTACTAGATTGTTGTTGATGCGCGGCACTGTCATGTCGTTTGTAATCAATGTTTGTTTTTGCTGCTGCTGTTGCCCTTACTACTACTACTGTTGCTGCTGCTGCTATTGCTGCTGCTCCTCCTGCTGTTGCCGCTGCTGCTGTCTTGAGAGGGTAGGAGCTGCTTACATTAATTGTTCCCCTTGCAGCAGCTGCATGCATCGCAAGCCAGTCGAAATGCATTTGCTGTTGCTGCTGTTACTGCTGCTGCTGTTGCTGCTGCTGCTGCAGCTGCAGTGGGACCCCGAGAGGAAGGCCTTCGAGGTGCAGCGGTTTCTGCAGCATTATGAACACCCAACTCTGCATCCTGTCACAGGTCCTACTTGGGCTCTGAAGGTGAGCATGAGCTGCCTATACACCCCAAATAACGCAGGCATTCCCTTTACACCACACCCAGCGTAGCTGCGTATACACCGCAATTGGTGCAGGCACTGCAATGCGTGTAACCGCAGCTGCCTATACAGCGCATATGACACAGGCACTGCCTGTACACCGCAACTACCTATACACCCCACATTCACCGCAGCCGCCTTTACTGCACTTTAGAAAATCTTTTACGCACTCCCTGAACTGTCAGCCAGACAGCAGCAAATCAAGTTTTCAGGCTAAAGCAGCAGCAGCATCAGCAGCAGCATCATCTACAGCAGCAGCAGCATCTGCAGGAGCAGCATCATCTACAACAGCAGCAGCATCTGCAGCAGCGAACCGGTGATAAGTTCATTTGCTTTTTGTGTTTTGCATTGAGAGTGCTGCAGGATTGGGCTCGCGCGGTGGTTGGGGCTGAGCCGGAAGAGGCTTCATCTTTGCTTGCATGCAGCGCGAGTAGATTTTTGGTGAATCTATCTGTGACGCTTTCTTTCCTCCAGAGCGGAGGAGCTACTGTGGATCTAAAGTGAGACTTTCAGCAGCAGCAGCAGTAGCAGCAGCAGCAGCATATGCAGTAGCATCAGCAGCATACGCAGCTGCAGCAGCAGTTAATCTGCTGCTGCTTGCGGACGCGCTGTTTTAAGGGAGAAAGCAGCATATAGTGTGAGGGAAAAGTGCCGGAAAGAGCGGCTCTGGCCTTCATTTAGGGTTTAGGGTTTAGGGTTTGGGGGTTCGATGTTTGCAGGGTGTGCAACGAAGAATGGCAAGAACACACGCAGCAGATTTCAATACCTCCGGCCAGCATTGCGGTGTAGAGGCAGCTCAGCTGAGCTGGCGAGGGTTTAGGGTTTAGCGGCGGTTGGGGTGTCTAAGCAGTTCAGGTGTAGCTGCAGCTCCAGGATACACGCCGAGCAGGAAACAATCTCTTTTTTATTTATATTCCCTCCACAAACCTCTTGGCAGCTCTTATTGCAATCCTTTTAATGAGCAGCAGCCAGAAAAGAAGAAACTTCAGGGTACAGAAAACAGCGAGAAATCGGGGGTTTAGGGTTTAGGGTTTAGTGTGCGCGTGTTTGCTACGAAGAACTCTGCCTTAGTCCGAGGAGTTCGGGTTTAGGAGCGAAGCAACTCGTTGGGAGCCTGCTGACCCCAGGGGTTTGTTAGGGTTTAGGGTTTAGGGCTTAAGGTTAATATTTGCCTGCTGGAGTCGAGGAAAGCCAGAGCTATTGCCCTTTAGGATTTAGGGTTCAGCATTAATGGTAGCTGCCTCTCTTTCTTCTGCAATAGAAAGTGGCAGAGCCCAGGTAAAACCAATAGAAACAGCGGCAGCAGCAGCTGCTGCTGCTGATACTGCTGCTGGTGCTGCAACAGCAAAAGCTGAAGCAGCTACAGCAGCAACAGCATAATAGCTGCCAACCTCCACAGGTAAACCCCAAGATATTCTCAGTTGCCATTGCTGCTTGTGTTCCCTCCACTCTTGTTTGCTGTTGCTGCTGCCTTCTCGCTGCAACTGGTTATTCTCCCGTTTGAGGCCGAGCGTCTTGCTGTAAACAAAAAGCAAAAATGAATAAATGAAATTAAAGAAAAGCCAAATAACCCATGCACTATAGCTGCAGCTATTGCTGCTGCTGCAGCGAACATGGAACAGCCTAGGCAGCAGCAGTAATAGGAGCAGCGGAGAGTGCAGCAGCAGTAGTAGTAACAGCAGCACCAGCACCACCAGCAAGATGGGGGGCCAACAATAGTAAAAGCCGCCGCAGCAGCAGCATCATAGCCGTATCAACAGTAGGATAAGCAGCAAAAGGGGGTGCTGCTACAGCAGCAGCAGCGTTGCTGCTGCAGAGCCTTCAAAGTGAAGGGTCTAGGGTTTGTGGTTTAGGCTTTGTGGTTTAGAGTAAATAGACCTTTGAAAGAGAATAAAGCTGACAAAGTTGCTCAGCCTTAATAACTTCTCCTTCTCTCTTTAGATGTGCTGCCGCCTCCCTGATGTTATTCATGCCCCCAGCCAGAAGCAGCATTTTGATTCTTTGCGCTGTATTTACACTTGCGTTTATACTCGTTTTTGCATTTATGTTGTTTCCGTCTATAGTTATATTCATATCTTCATTTGCACTTGTACTTATATTTGCATTTGAATCTGAACTTGAACTTGAATTTATACACGTGTTTGAATTTGAATTTGAATTTTTGTTCGAATTCGGATTTGAATTTGAATTAATATTTGAATTTATATTAGTGTTTGAATTTGAATTTGAATTTATAGATTCTTTTTCTTTCTCGTTATTCAATGAGGGGCTGCACAGAAGACGCAAACGCGGCAAATCGCCCAGGGCAGCCAACGCCGAGATGCAAACAGCGATGTTCCTTGCAAATGGAAAAATAGCAAAAAACAAACAAAAACTTTTTATTATGGGGAGAACAGCAACCAAAATAACAACGCTTGGTGGGTAAAAGCACAAGGCAAACACAAGAAAAACAAAAATACTTTATTATTAGAACAGCAAACAAAATAAAAATGCTTCATGGGAAAACACAAAATACAAAAATACAGGAGAACAAAGAACAGAAATACTCTGCTATTATACTTATGCTTGATTAATAAAACAACTGGAGAGATCTCAACATTTAGTTTTGAGAGTGAGAAGAACAAAAAAAACTGTATCTGGTTACACTAAGAAGAACAACAAAAAAACCAACACCTGATGAATAAAACAATACCAACAAAGCCTTACTAAGATAGTCTTTGGAAAGCACGAAAAGGGCACAAGGAACAATTCTTCTTCATATTATTATTATCACCATATATTTCATTGCATATATCAAATTGAAAATAAACACTTGAACATTTAACGAACCTTGAACGAACACACAAGAAGAAAGCACAAACAGCAGCATCAACAGTTCATCATAACCACTTATTCAGTGATTCATTTAAGGCACAGAAACCAATACGGAGGGCAGCAAGAATAGCAATGCCTTATTCAAACAACAGAGGAACAAAATACTTCAGTACAATACTAAACCAGCTACATAAACCGCAATACATAGAAAAAACAACAGAAACAGAAATGAGTAATCATAACACACCAAGAAAACAACAATGATGTGTATTAAAAAAAGCAAAAACAAAAAGAATACATATGTTTGAGAAGCTTCTTTTGGGTGCATAAAAGAATGATATGACGAGGGAAACAACAATAATAAAATAATGAAGACAACACAATAACAGCGCTTTATAAAGAAGCCAAAACGGGAATCGCTTTGTCCCTATCATTTTTTTGTCTGTCTCCTCTGTGAGCCCCTTCATCTGCCTTCAGTCTGCCACTTTGATTATCTGTGTTCTTTGTCTGCAGCAATATATTGCCATCTTAATTCAATATTGTATATTTATTTTATTTGCTTGCTGCTCCTACTGATAGTGCAAAGCTTCTCGGTATAGGCAGCCCCACAAACTCGGGTGTCTCCCCAGACGGCACGCCGTCTTTGCTGCATCCCTGCAGTCCCCAGGCGAAAAGTAGCAAAAGCACCAGCAGCAACAGCAGATGCAGCAGCAGCGGCAGCAAAGCAGTAGCTCTGGTGTGAGCAGGAGAACGTGTATGCAAGAGCTTAAGCTGCTGTTTTGCTGCTGTTGCTGCTGCTGGTGTTGAGAGTTTTAGGGTTTTGGGATATGGACAGTTGGCGTTTTCTTTCTAGTCACCATGTCTTTAGGGTTTAGGTCCTAGGGTTTATAAGGTTACCAGTTTCCTTGTTCTAAGTTCAGCAGCAACTCGCAGCTAAAAGGAGACAAAAGAAAACGCATCACGGATGCTCCTTCTGCCAGCACCAGAACACCTGCTGGCTCTGCTGCTATAATTTCACAGTCTTCACAAGGCAGCTCCCCCAGGCTTATCTGCAACACAGCAGCAGCAGCAACGGCAGCAGCAACGGCAGCAGCAACAACAATAGTTGCAGCATCACCAACAGCAGCAGCAACAGCAACAGCAACAAAACCAGTTGCAACAGCAGCAGCAACAACAGCAGCAGGAACAGCAGGAGCAGCACCGCAAGCACTCAACAGCAGCAGGAGCAATAGTAATCAACATAGAATGCTTATTGTTGCTGCCTTGACTTTTTCCACTCAACTCTCTTGTTATGCTGCTGCTGTGCAAAATCGCGCAGCACTAAATAAGCCCAAAACCTCTATTTCGGTGTTTAAATAAGCAAAACTTTGATGAGCATTATCTTCGCGAGTCTGTCAATGTGCTTCGACCTATTATTTGGAACCCGTCAGGCTTTGCATGCATACAAAAGAACTGCAAACTGTCTGGAGTTCTTGAGGGCTTAGGGTCTAGTGCATAGACGCGCATGAGCAGCAGATGTACACGTAACTGATCAGCAGCTATTTCCTGGTGCATGCACTTTTTAGATTTCAGAGTTTCTTGATTCACAAAACAGAGTTTAGGGTTGACGGTATGGGGTTATCGTATTTATCTTTCGATCTCACCTCTTGCTGCAAGCTGTCTGTACACCTGCCACCAGAACAGGCGCCTTCCTCTCCTGCGCTGGGGCCCAAGACCCACTGCACCAGCTGATCCTCTGCAACTCCAACTAAAGCAGACGTCCCCCACACCCAGCAGCAGGAAGTGACGAAGCTGCTGCTTATCAATCGCCATTCTTTTGGCCTTGTTACAGCAGCACACATAACGAATCGAGCGAAACATGCAGTGGAAACACCCCTCACAAGGGCACCTGTTCAAACGTGCTGCAGTACTTTTGTGCGCGAACTTCTTGCGTGTGCAGATATATACTCAAAGAACAAAACCCTAAACCCTAAACCCTAAACACTAAACGCTAGGTCTGGCCCTAGCTGTAGAGGTACTACTTCAGTGTTTTAGATCTGTTAATGTCGATGCATAACCGTGTAACAAACCAACAGGAACAGCCCCAAACCGGTGGTGCAAACACACACAACAAGCGAAACAACCAAGGATGCGCAACGGCAGTTCTTCACTTTATCACTACAACAAGAACATTCATTTGCATGAGTGTAGCAAATGCACGCCTTTGAATCGCAAGAGAGAAGCCACCCCTTTCTTGTCTGCTACAAAAATTTATTTCGCGATTCCAATGCTTACGTTGTTGCTTTCTTTTAATTTATTGTCTGATTAAAATGTTTTAATTCACGTATTGTTGTGCGAATCATATAGGACCGGAAAAGTACTTCTAGTCGAAGTCGGTTGCGTCTCACGCTGCCAAGAATACACCACGACGTGCGAGCAATGTTTAGCGGTTGCTTATTTTGATGAATGCCAGGCTATTGGCTTTTCTATTCAGATTCAAATGCATGCATGTTTTATGCTCATGCAGATGCATGCTCTCATTTGACTGGTAAGAAGAAAGGCTGGCTTTGTGGTCCTCTTGGCTGCTGCATATGCGTGTATTTTCAGCAGAATGCCTTTTCTATTGTTCTGCTGCCCATTTGAATACCAGCACCAATGGATCTAAGCCACTCAAAGTCTAAAAGGTGAGGATGAGCCTCTATTTCTCCAGTGCATTGACAGCCATTTCCCGCCCATTCCTGCATCTAGAGGAGCTCTTCTGGCCATTTACACCACTAACTGAAAAGGAACAAAGGTGTCGGCCTTTTGCTGTTTAGCTGTTCATAACGTTTTGGCGTTTGACTAACCTGTTTGAGTCGGCTACTAGCAATCCTCCTTTGGCGTCGCGGATTGCAATCAGCGTTTTCTGTTTTGTGCTTGTTTGGGTGATTTGTACCTTCAGACCATCCAGAGTCGTAAAGAAAACTGTCAATATATATGTATATACATACTTATAAATGAGTATGCGCCCTGCAATTAGTGTGCAACGTGAAGCAGTTATCGAAGAAGCAGAAGCCCGGAGGGGGTGTATCCATGCAACCATGAGTCCGCATATATTTGTGTAGATACATTCAAAAACGGGAAGAGAGTAAAAGCGGCACTCACGGAGTGCAGCACAGTCAACAACAAAACAGACAATAAGAACAAATATAAAAGCAGCAGCACCAGCAGCAGCAACAACAAAAACAGCGACAACAACAACTCCTACTACTACTGATACAGCAGAACTGCTACTAGCAAAAGTTGGCCTTCTTTAACTGCACGCAAACGAGCATGAGCAGGTGCTTTGGTCCACAGCAACAGCAGTATAAACCATAAGGCAGCAACGGGAACAGCCTGCAGCGGCAAACACACTACTAGTAAAAATAAAACCAGCAATGACGAGAGAGTACGCACCTCCTTTATTTCACACGAGTGAATGTACTCTTCTGCATGGCGCCCAAAACGAACATCCACAACTAGGAGGCGCTGCTGTTGTAAATCGGTGACCTGTCAAGAAGAGAAACGCCGATTAGGGGTCGCGATCTGAAACCCGAGGCCCTAGGCACTAACCCCTGGAGCTCCTAGCATTTGCCACTAGATATCTAGAGCCCTGCCCTCTATATTCTGTACCGTGAAAGCCAGTGATGTTGTACAGAAATGGCTAAGGATTGTGCGTCAAGAGTTGGGTGTTGAGAGTAAGCGTAGGAGCTTGATGGCAGTGGTATTAGAATTATTGTGCATACAAATGCAGTTAAGTGCAGAACTAGCCTTAAGTATAATAATAGATTATAGCAAAATTATCATTTCTGGATGACTAATTGAAGCAAAGCGCGTGTCACTTGTGTCAAGCAACGACTATCCTGCTGCTGTTGTGCATCACCAGTAGTACTTGAAGGGGCAGAGCGGCATGGAAAGAGATAGGGGGAAAAGATACATAAAAAAGGAAATGCACATAGAGGTAGATGTATAGACTTAGAAAGAGATTGAGAGACGTCAAGTGAGGGATAGAGACAGAGGCAGAAGAAAGGAGCCAGGGCGACGGCGAGACAGAAATTGACGGAGGGCGTGAGGCATACATAAAGCGACCGAGGGACAGCAGCTGAAACGGAGACTGAGACAGAGGGTTGGGGACGAAGAGACAGGAAACAGAGAGACAGAAGAACTGAAGCTGAAAAACACAGGCGGAGAGGCAGACGGGCAGAATGCCAGATGGACAGAAAGAGGGAGACCAACGGACAGAGACAGACAGAGGAAGTGAGAGGAATAAACGCGGAGACTCAAACACAGCAGACAAGTACAGAGAGGAAAGGGAGAGAGGAAGAAACATGAGGGTTGTTAGCGGCAATTTTCCCAAGATTTTGCAAGGTGCGCTGGCTGCAGAGATTCCTAGCGACTGCATGCTTCCCACCAAACAATTTGCTCTCCTTGACGTAATGTATGAATGAGAGCGGATGAAGCGAAGTTTCGTGAGACGAAACACTAAAATGTCTGTTTTGTGAGAATAATAGAAGCAAACACTTCCTCGAAAAGCGACAGCGCAACCAACCTTCTTGATAATGCATCGATGTAGTAAAAAAGTTTCGCATGGCGGGAAGTGCTTAATTATTACGTATAGCACGATCAGCGTTGAAGGTAATTTTAATATCCACTATAATAAGCAATAAATTCGTGCATTCTAGGGGACTTCATCATCTGTAGTTTACTCACAAGCGCCACAAAACTCGACGAACAGGCGGCGCGTAGTTTGGGGCTTTTTTCTACTGGAAGCGGCAGACTGTACAGGCGATTGCCGGAGAGGTTCAATACCTTTAAGCAGCAGCATACAGACCGCACACGCAGGTAACACTTGTTGTAACTATCACTGGAATAATAAATGCGATACGCCACAATTATATTTCTAATATCTAGCCATTTATCTGCACCATTTATTACAAATACAATGCTTAGATACATTTGGTTACACTCAACAAAGGCAAACGTAATGCACAAGCACAGAGGCTTGTCTGCCTGCAAGTATTTGCGACGCTCCTGTTCCAGATAAAGCAAGCAATGTGTACTGTATGGAGAAAAATGCCAGCAGCAGCAAGCGTAGCAACCAGTGTTTTTTGTCGCATACACACATGAAAGGATTTTGCGTCTGAGTAGCAAACGACCCCATGCCCAACAAACACGCTTTCAGGGTGTAGCGGAGCCTCCACCACAGTGGGTGCTTCAGATCTTGCGGCACAGTCCTGCATGCATACAAACAAGGTATGGCTCACGCTAGTCGTGCTCGCTAGCCTGGCCGTTTAGTCAGGTTAGCTAGCAACCTATCCTGATGGCGCATTTACCTGCCAAGGTTGCAAGGCTAGCTAACTCGTTACGATAGGGTCCTAGGACTTTGGAATGTAGAAAGCTAAGCTGGCTAGCTTTGCTAGCTAGTGTCATTTGCAAGCCAGCTCTGCAAGAGCACCCGCATAGCTAGCGGTAGCTACGCACTGGAGCCCTGGAGCTAGTTACAGTACTGTATTCATGAAGGGTCGTAAGTCGATGAGAGTATGGATGAAAATAGCTTGCCTGAATGGCGTGGATGATGCAGTCTTTGGCTGTTATCACTGCCAAGCACTCAGGACCTTCAGCAGCAACGGCGCAACCGCAGCAGCAGCACAATGCGCTCCTCTCCCCCCGCCCCCCCCTGTTCGGGGAAACAAGCGAAAATGAAGAATCGCAATTGCATGCATCCTCGTGAGACTGTCCCAAACCCTTCCGCGGTGACCTCAACATTCTTCCAACTGGTGAAGTACACATCAAACTAAAATGCTCTTTAAGGCTGCGCGAGCATTCTTCGCCTTTACGGCATGGGGCGGTTGTAGTTTTCTGAACATCCGGTTGTCCGCAACGCCCCAGTCGCAGTGAAACCTTAGTAACACCTCACCAAGTGCAGGTGCAGAGATATGGTGACAATGGTTTTGTAAAGTTGCTTTCCCCCTGTTGCGTTGTCTAGCATAAAGATACGATAAAAATTTACACTGTCGATGCCGATGCCGAGTTGCGATCTCACTGTCAATGGGAGGAGAGCAATTTGCTAGTTTCCATATTTCAGCTTCACTAAGCTCAAAGCAAAGAAAAACTTTTTTCTTTCTCACTTCCAACAAAGTCAACAATGGCATCCTTCGTCCGAAACCGGCGCTGTGTTCGTGTGAAGTTGTCCTGCAACAGAAACAGAGGAAACCGATAAACCAAGCAAATCGCTAGCCCTATGCGCCGAACTCTGGGGCGTTGAAAAGCATTGCCTCAGTATTTACTGGTTTCTGCTTTTCTACGGGCGGCATGGTGAGCGCTTTGTCATTTGCTTGAGACATGTTTGTCCCTGGCCAGGAAATCGGTACAGCCACGCTCTTTTACTTTTCTTGGAAATGTGACCCGTATGCAATAGTCGTTCCAAGTTGTACAATCAGGTCGTGAGGTCTATAAATTCAAAGAAATTTCTATTTCATCAGCATTAGGCGCAAACGGTCGGGGGCTCGTGGACGGTGAACCGCCGCTGTGAACTCAAAGGTACTAATTGCATCTTTACTTCAATTTGCAAGGCGTCCGATCCTTCTAAAGAAGCACAGAACCTCCACGTTTCTCTTTTGGTTGTGACAACTTTAAATGAGTAGAACCCCGAAACGCCGCAGGCGGCAGCAACCTGTTGACCGTCAGGTGCCCATCGCAGGCCAAACACAAAATCCACTGAGGCATTAAAGTCACACCCAGAAAAAGTAATAGAGGTCCTTCACAATCTCCACCCATGCGCCAACAAAGAACCGTGTGCTCCCTTCCGCTGGTAACAGTGTAAAGCCAAGTGGTCCTAGTCACGACCACGCGCAATCTATTCAAAAGCGTATTGGATTGGGCGACTCGACTTCTTGTGCTTACATACGGAAGCATGCACACAGGTAGAATGTACTGCTCCCGCTTTTCTCTATGCTGATTTATAGGCATTTGCAGAGCCCCTAGGATAACGAAATGGCGCACATAGGCACGCTTGAAGCTAGATTGCGCTGAGGTTAACTCAAGAATTCACAATAAGTCATCCCACGGTTCGCACCTAAAGCATGCAGTGAACACGTGTGAATGGTTCGTGTAAAGCATATAGCATCGGTGATAAAAGCACCTTGGGGTAGGGGAACAGAGCTAAGCAGTTCTCCTTTGACGTTGCAGAGGGCAAGTGCATTACTGACAGCCACGATAAACATGTCTCCCGATGGTTTCCAGGCCACTGCAGTGGGACTGTTTTGTGTCCTTGAGTCTGAAAAAGGAAGGGATTGCCGCCTTTCAACGCCTTTGTTTCCGAACCACGGCCGTGGGGTTGTACACAAATGATTGGTGGCTATACACTGGACGAGCACTCCTCTGGGGCTCCAGATGCAACAGCGGCAGTCACAGCCAGTTGAAAGAATAAGGCGAGAGGCAGTGGAGGCCCAATCTGCGCTTGTGACGCCCCCCTCATGTGCCTTCCAGCTGTTGAACTCCACTTCATTATTGAGGTCTCCTTCCCTTGTCCCTTGCATTCGGTTGCATCCTTCTAAGGGCTTTGCAATTGTCAAGAGATCTCCAAAAGCCAGCATCAAACTCTCTCCCTCTGCTTCCCAACACAGCGCTGTGATCCCTCCACCTCCAACTGCGAAGCCGCCTACCCCTCCACCTTGTGCTTGTACTTGGAATTGCCGGCGACGAAACAACCGTTGCCGTTCCCTATGGCCCAGCACGCGCCTCAAGTACAACGAATTCTGAAATCTAGCTAACCAGCTAGTACAACAACCTAACTAACTGACTGACGTAGTTCAGGCTGCAACAATTGGGATCTCGCGAAAGACATGCGAATGCGACTTACCATGTGATGACCGATCCGTTGGCAGCAGCAGTGGCTAGAAAACGGCCGTTGAAACTCCAGGCCATGGCATCAAGAGGCGCTGCATGAGAGTGGAGCGCCTTTGCAGAAACGGACCAGCTTTCTAGAGTGTACGCAGACCTCGGTCTGCCGGGAGGAAGCTCTAAGAGAATCACCGATCCCTTCAGGGTCCCCAGGGCCATGCAAGTGGTTTCTTCGCCTGCAGTAGGCATGTACGGTGCAATGACAAGCACGGGATCTTCGCCAGGCAGGGGAGGAACCGGTATCTCAGCGTTTGACACCATATCCCCATCGGTTTCTGAAGCCCTTATTACACCCTCTCTGTCAAGCAGACAGAGCTGTTCAACACGGTGACCGCGATTTCCGTGGTACCCAACTCCCCAATGCACCGAAATGCAGCCACTCAACTGCCCATGGACCGTCTGCCTCAGTTCTTGCATCGTCAAATGCGGCGACTGTTCGTAGGTACTTTTCCCTCCACGGACCTTCGTTTAAATGTGGTAGTTCAACGCCTCAATTATGCTCACGCACAGCTGGCCCTGGGCTACGGATGAGCAAGAGCGTTTGTGAACCAAAAGCTGTGTGTGCAGTGAACGGCAAGCAATAGCGCTTTGGATGCTTATCCTGCAGGAGTCTCATCATCCCTCAGCCGTGGTACAACCTGCGGTGAACAGCCATTGCTTACAGCTGTGCTACAACGTCAACTGCCATGAAGACTGGGAGCTTATATCACTGAATGCCGCTCTACTATTGTCCCTAGATCCTTAGGTGCTGCTTTTGCTGCAGCCGTCAGCGCTAGGCTTTCTCCTTACTTAGACTGCGCAAAGATGTTTCATTTGGGGGCATCAACCATTTTTCTTGTATCTTGCCCCAAGGAGAACATGAAAAAAACAAGTATGTTCTGATGCTGCTCGCACCCGTTCTTTGAAATCCAATATTTCGGGCCCCGTTGGTTGCTGCTCCAGTGCGATCGGCCCACCTTTCTGGAGCCGTCGCTCCTATGCTTAGAGTGTATTTGATGTTCAAGGTTCTATATTTTGCTCATAGGTTTTACGGTTTCTGCAGAGCTGCTGCTTGAGCTTCTCACGCACGTCAGTCTGGTGTCAGGTGCGCGACCCGCGTTCAGGGCGGAGGAGCGCCAATTTTACTTCTATCTTTGTCAGCAGTAAATGCAAATAAGTTTGTTTATTCTTTCAATTCAATCGAATACGGATGGTCAAGCGCGTATCCTCGGGGACGGCGACGACGGCAAACGCCCCACATGTCCACCTCGGCCGACGCCCGTGGAGCATTTTGTCAGAAATATGTCATATGCGAGGATTACCGTGTTAAATCAACTCAAAAAATCGTGTACAATGTGCCTTCTTCATACTAAAGCGAGCTTTGCTGGAAAGTTTGTGGAGTGCATCGAAGCCTGCCATGCAAGCAGTTCAACCCCCGTTGCACCGGTGGTCATCTGCCGCAAGTGTCACTGCAGAACATTTCGTCGGCAAATTTTTGAGAGAGTTGGGTTGCCTTAAATTTTTTGGTTTCCGTTTGTGCGGCCTGGTCCCTGGGGGAGGGGGGCGCTGCAGAATTTGTCATTATTCGAGCCGCATAAGCTCGAATTTCGTCGCCGTCGGACCACCACAGAGAGTTTCCTTCAGAAATGTAGTAGCCACTGTCGTCCCGTCTCCACTTCTATTTTTCGTTGTGGGCATACGTAATCAAGCTGAAAGCACTTCAGTTGCTGGGTGTTCTATGCTCTCTACCGGCTTGATGCTAATTTATAGCCGGTATCGGATACCGCATATGCTCGTTGAACTGCACTTCTTCTTCTTCCGATCATCTTCTCTGCAGCGTTGTGCCAAAGCTGGTTACTGAGTTTGTACCTATGTGTCCGCATCCTTCTTTTGCAAGGTATCGAAGGCGTTTTAATGGCATATATGGGGTTGCCAGTGCAAGTTTTACTAGTTGAAATTTCAGGCTGAACTGCAGCCTGAGTTACGCGTCTAGCCACGAAACACTACTTTTTCTACTACTTACTACAGAGGCCACTGTCTTCATGCAATGGCGTGGCGCTTTTTCACACGGCCGCAAAGCCATTCCATGAAGGCAGTTGTACTGACGTATTTGGTTGATGCACTCGTGGCATTGACTCCTCTTTGCTTCCGAGAATGTGTCAAACTTCAACGCATCGAAAAAGTGCTCTAGAGAACCCCTCTGCTCCAGGATTCTCACTTATTGGTTCTAAGCAAATTTTGGATGCTTCTCAGCAATATCATCTTGTTAGGCTGTTCGTCTTTTCGTTCTCATCCCCGCGAGGCAACGGCAACGTCTTGTCGTTTTCTTGCGTTGCACGCTGCTGTAGATCCTAATAAAGGATTAGATAGCGCATGAACAGGTAAGACGAAAAGTGAGAGGGAAAAGGATTTGCTTCGAAGAAAAGAAAAGCTGGCAACGCCTTAGTGGCAACTGGGAATGCTGTGACCCATATTTGACTCGTGCGAGTACCTTAAGGAATGCCGCCTCCATTGCTTTGTACTCAGCTTCCATTGCTTCAAGCTCAAGGCTTTCTACTTCAGCCTCGGATATAGTCTCCACCTCTTCTGACTCCTTCTCAACTACTTGCCGCTTGTGCTTCTCTTCTTGCGCCTAAAGATTTCAAAGGCATTATCACAACTCTGCAGAAGCGCATGCATTGCTGTTGAGGATCCGCTTCCATGCAGGCATTTTCGAAATCAGTGAGGAAACTCTAGGTTGAGGAATCTGCTCCCGTTTGTGAAGAAGGCAAAGACTACCACCTGGCTAATCCATCTCCCTCGTGATTGATGATAAAGCTCCGTGTCTGGCTGATATATGTAGTACCTCGCCGAATAAGTGTACGCAAAATTGAAGGTCACTTAAAATTATAAAAAGAGTAGCAGCACTCATGGATGGGATGCGAAATCTACGTGTGTGTTGAGTTTCAATACCTTTTTAAGAAGAGCTTCCCTCTCGTTCAGGTACTCCGCTCGTCCATCGTCCCGTAAAAGCATTGCAGAAATATGGCTCAGTTCATCTGGATTCTGCGTTAGTATGGCAGTCACACGCATGCAACAATACGTGCAGTGCATTCAAGCTCTCCCATCTCCACATTGATCACACTTAGCCAGCGTAGCTTTTAGGGGAACTTTGTTGTGCCGGTCATGTCGGCTCCAGCCGCTTGTCTCACGGGGTTTGTTATGCTTGGGAAAAGCTTAATGACTCTCAGAGCCCCCGTCCCGTCACCTACTGCTAGGTAAGCAAGGGTCGGATTAGGTTCACTGCTTATTGTCATTGCGTCCACTATCGGAGGCTGCCTAGTGAACTTTCTTGATTTGCTGCGAGCGTAGCTGATTGGATGTTGGTGATGCCGCGGTCCTTGTTGCTGCAACTGAGGAAAGGCCAGAGAGGTCAGCTGCGTAGCAGACACTGCGCTAAGAGCTGTTGGTTTCTGCAGCTGATCCCTGAGGTCCCAAACCTCTAGGGTACCATCTGTTCTCCCAACAAACAGAACCCCTGGTCGCGAAGGGCTCCAAACGCCACACGAATAGCACGCAGGCGGCCTGTGAAGGCAAAAAATATACACAATATGCTTGCGCATTTAGATGTATGCTACAAAACAGCATCAAGCGCTGGAAAAGCGCCACTAGACACCGGATGCCTGGGGAAACGTGTTTACCATGTCAGAGAATCCTATATTATTGAGGGAAAACAACTTCTAGGAAGGCACTGCACGAGTAATGTGACACACACGCTCTCATTTCTAGCTGGCAAGGAATTGTCTACTTCGTGCACCCCACGTAGGAGAGGAATAAACAGGTCGAGGGCAGCCCAGCCTCAAGATGTGGAAGGCGAAGTCCGTCACGAGAAGGGCTATTCGAGGGATGAAGGGAGACAACTGAAAGTCTCTCGAAGGTCGGAAGCACCGAGTGGCCTGCTTTTCCAAAGACATCAAAGCCCGCATGCAGACGCAATAGCGCTGGAGTTTCTACCCTGTGGCAGCTGTCGTAAGAGGAGCCCAAGCTCTCTACCCACCAGCAAAAAGCCTTATCTGAGGGACTACCATGATTCCAAACGCGTCAGAATAAGGAGCCTATCGATGTGACTACAACTTGCTTGAAAGTGCTGCTTTATGTGTTCTGATTTTCCGTCGTCAAAGGAAATTCCCCAATCCCCCAGCAGCACATCTCCTTCTTCCTGAAGTGGCAGCATCAAATACACTTGTCCCAACCTAGGTTTCTGTGAAGCAATACGGTTGGATGTCTCGAGAACACTTTCCACCCATTTTCTTCTTAATTCTTCGGCTGTTTACAACAAATCCAACAAGCAACCATTAGGGGCGGAAGTTACGCCCTAGGACTGGAGATAGCAATGCAGCACCACCATCTCATAAGCCCTAAAGGCTCATGTACTTCATCCTGACAGCGCTATCTTGAAAGCCTACCGTAGCCGCCCAGAATTCCGACGAAACAGTCTGGGGTGGCATGGGGATGACGATAAGCTGGCAGCATCCAACGGTGCCCCCTGCGGTCAACGTGGGAACATGAAGGCCAGAAGGCGGCCAAAAATGCCTTAAGCACTTTATCAAAAATCTTATTTCCATTATCAATCGTGCCCCTACCACTTCTGAGTTCGTAGCCGGTTCCTACGGGTGGTAAAAACAAGTTAGTTCTGTGTTTTTCACGGCAATTTGGTTGCAGGAAACATCTCATTTGGATTATCTTTAATAATAAAGCAAGCATGCCAGCGCGTCAGCTGCAGACGAATTTGAAATACATTGTGTCATGAAGACTTAAACTTGTAAACCCTAGTGTTTTTGTGCCCGAGATGCAGGCATTCACTTCTCGAAGGTAGAATGGAAGCTTTTTGAAAATGTTTTGCCATTAGGGACAGTTGGTTACCTGGGTCTTGCTTGCGCAGCTGACACTGGAGTACTGGCCTCCATAGGAATTCAGCGTTATCGGCACCTGCAACTGCAGCGGTAATATCCCATACATATACGCCTCCGTCAGCCCCGCATGAAAGAAAGAAGGCATTTTCTGCTTGGGCATTGAAGTAAATGGCAAGAGAACGCCTGAAATCTAACTTCGATGGAAGGGGCACCAAGTGCTGCACCGGGCGCTTGTGGGAGAAATCAATAGCTGAAGAAGCCACCACCGGTTGAAGCTTCCCGGTGTGGGTAGCATCTGCAATTAATGAGGATTGTTTTGGGAAAGGGCAAAAGGAAAGACACCGCAGGCCGGTAGGAAGAATAGGAGGTGTTAATGGTGACTGGGAGAGCAAAGAATGCATTCGTGAGAATCAAAACATGCACACTTGGAGCGAAATTAACTTTATTGAGGTGCAGGTGCAAAATCGCGGTCCTGTTAGTGAAAATTTCAGCGATATACACCGTGCTCAGCTCAAGATGAAAACAAGGCGCGGTGGCTGGTAAGGGTACAGCCTTGAGTGGTGGAGATGGTTATTTCACCCACCAGAGGTATTTTGCTGCATTCTAAGGGAGCTCGCTTCCCACATTGCAATCTGCAAACGATACGAGCACCGCTAATGCTAGTGGCGTAGCCCAATGCGGATTACATTCCCAAAATGTTCATTGCCAGGCAGTCTGTTGAGGCTCCGGAAGCAGAAAGATGCACTGCTGGCGGGATTCAGCTGCAGGAGAAGTAACCACTCAGCTTGTTATGCCAAGGTTTGATTTACTGAACCACATTTGAAACCTCACCTGTCCATTGAGCAAGCCAGCAACCAAGTAGAGCCTGTTCTGGGCAGCGGGGACGAAACAGAATGTTGTGATCTCCTAGATGCAAATAATCCCGAATGGGACAACAAAATACACACCAGCCTATGCAAATGCATACTCATCTTGGACGCACAAAATTCCTACGCGTGGTATTTGGTTGGCTTTTATAAACACCGCAAAGCTCTCGACGCAGTGCCGAAAACCACACGCCTCGCCCTGCGAACTTTGCACCAAGAGATTTCTAACTCTCTGCCGGTACATCTGTTTGCTGTTTCGTCGCGCATGAATAACGTGCATATTCACCAGGTGTGGGGATATTTGGCATATGCGGAGAGTCTAGTGCACCCCTGTGACCCTTCTTGCGCCTATAGGCTTTGAGAACTGCCTTCACCAGTAGCTCAATGGCCATGCATTTACTTCTCAGAAAAACTAGAAGGGTTTAGGTAGACGGCAGTTCCCAATCAAATTGTATGCTATGCCTAAGTGTGCCTACAGGTAGTCATTGATGCCTTACAGATGGAGCCACAAAGAGTTGCTGGGGAACAAGCGGGTTTTCAAGAGACCAAACAAGGATTACAGACTTTGAAGAGCGAGCAGGAGCCTCCACGCGCTCATCAAACGAAGAGGCGTCCATTGCCGCACACGCTATCAGCTTTTGTGACCTACTCGCATGAAATGTTCACTCCTTTGATTCGAAATTTTCAGCTAATTAGTAAATCCGGTTTCTGGACTCAGGGATGGCAAACAATAGCACGGGGCAATTCATTCCAAAAACGCTTCTGGCTTACTCAGGAATCCACTGGACGAACGAAATAAGCTTGTTCTTCGAGTAGGATAGGTCGGTGAATGTGAATTCCTCTTTCATCCCTTCTTCAGTTTCCAGATGTGCTCCATCGCCAGCGTTGGCATCCATGTGCGACAAGTCGTGCTTAAGGATGTCTACAGTTTCGTTGTGCTGCAAAGCTTCCTCGATCCTAGAAGCGAAGAACAATTAAACACTAAATGGCACCACTGGCGCAAGTGACTGTAAGACCCGCAAAAAAGCGCCTAGCTCCATGTATGTGCACGTGGTTTAGACATAATTTTCGTCGAAAGCTTACATGGTTGCCACTTTAGTGAAAAAAGTCTGAAAGCTCTTGCGGGATGCTGCAGTTGGAATGCCTGCTCCCTTCTGCTGCAGTGGCACACAACAGTTAGATGCTGCACGCCTTCCAAGTTGCTGTTTAAGGGTTATGCGCACGTAGAATTTTAGCGGATCACAGCTAACAGGGCGCATGACTTCTCAAGCTTTTTCATATTAACTTCATTTGCATTCAGGATAGATAATGTTGCAAGAGAATGGGAGCCTGCCCCTACGCAAGGTTTTTTTACCGTTAGATCATTTGAGTCATGCTGTATCTCCACATTCTTCATTGCGTCTCCTGCCGCCTGGGACCAGGCATCTGTCACTGAGGGGACTGCTTGGACACCAAAGTCAAGTTCTTGCTTGACATCAATGCAGTGAGAATCCTGAACATCATGAGTACGATAGGCAATTGCTCTAAAGCACCTGCATTGGGTACTTCGCTGGAAAGGGTTGGAAAGCTTTCGCGTCCTAAGAGGGGTACAAATGAGGGCATTCGGTAACTGCTTAACGAAGGAGGAAGTGGCAAGTGCTGAACTTTGCAGACTGACTTTGGGAGTCTTGAGGGATAGAACACGATCGGCAAAGGGCTGGTAGTGGGCAGGGGCTCTTAGGGCTCCTGTCTTCTTGCGAAACGTTTGTTTCATTAGAAGTCTTTTTGCTTTTATTGTCATTCCTTCAATCTCAGCTGCTGTCAGTTCCGCTGTGTCCGACTGCCACTCGCGAGGGGTTACAGGGACATCAGCATTCTCGTCCCTCAGCCGCTTTTTCGCTTCTATTTCCAACGCCTGTCGCTTCCTCGACTCCGCCTCTCCTCGTGCTGTGACGGCGTCATCGTTGGCTGTCTTAATTGCCTGAACAATGCAATGAGCTGCATGGTCTCCGGAGTGGTTAGGACGGTAAACAGCCGCGTCGAGGTGCTGTTACAACACAGGCCGTGGATTCCATACGTTTTCATCAACCGTGTCTTCCTGCCTGTCTGGCCTACTTCTTGGACTGCTCTGAAGGCTATTTCAGTGAAGGGCATCAGATAATTTGATCCATAGCTTCCGGCATCATCTCGTACTAACAGCACATCCTCTAATGGATAGGCCTGCACACTCATAGTGCAGTCTCCAACCCGCATAAAGATATCCTTATGATTACTTTCATTAAGAGATGCATCGATACAGATACCCCTCCATGTGAAGGCAGGCAACTGTGTCAACCCAGTTTCGTAGACAAGTAGCAACAGGCTTGGTGTACCTTGATGAGAGCCTTGTGTTCAGTCCAGTCCGAGTCCTTCCCTCTCTTTCCTATCTCCTGTAATATGGCCTTCCTTGAAAAGCTTTTGAATGGGCACAAGGCGCATTCTGAGCCTTCACCCACAAGTAGACCCATTCGCTTCAGGTTCTGCTTCCGCACCAGCATGCCCATGATCCCGTCAAGACCGCTTGATATATGGATCCGGATGCCGCTGAATTAAAGGATAAACTCAGCCATGCTTGCAAAGCGTCTCCTGATATGGAATGAAGTAGTACCACTCGGTTTAATGATTAATAATTTATCGTGTAAGTTGTTTGTGGCTGCTCCCTCTGGCGGCCTAGCCATGACGGGAACGATGGGCCGTATACGCAAGTGGGTAGGCAGCGCCATAGTCAAAGAAATCCACTGCATCTGCTAGAATATGCACCACGGTTCTTCTTTTACCCACCCGCAGGCATATTTTCCTGGATCGGCTTCATGGCACTCTACCTTTGCATCACCTTCTTCATCTCTGCCCAAGCTTGGGCCACTAGGGTATTCTTCCTTAGCATCCTGCCCTACGCCACCTCTCGCTGCTGGTCTTGTTTCATGCAGCGTGTTGGTATCTCCTGAGACTTCAGCAAGACTCTGCAGGGCTGTCGGTGGTTCGGTTTGATCCCCAACGGAGGAATGCACTTGCAGGGGAGCACCGGCAGAAGCGTCACCAACCAAGTCAGCAGCGCCTTCACAGGTGTTCTGAACAATCTGGGGGGAAGAGGAGCCCCTCGGCAGCTCGTCGGGCACCATGCTTTTTCTGTAGAGTCGGAAGAGCGCCTTGCGTTGATGGTTTGACAGCGACTCAGGCTACACTTTATTCAGCCAGGCAAGCTTTTCCTAACTAAAGTGCCGTACAAGCACTTGCTTTGCTTTAAAATGCTCGAAATATTCGGCCTACCATGCAACCTGCACAGTTGAGCAGCGAGGTCTCGTCAGTGACCCTAAGGATGTGCCGTCTCCAAGGGTCCCTTGCTCCGTTTGCCTGGAGGCCTCGTGTATGCAAACTCAGTATGGAGTGATTGGATTACTAAAAAGTTTTCTATGAAATACCCGTACATGGTAAGTTAGACAACTTACGCGGAAGTGCTTCCACGGGATCCCTTGCAACAGCTCTTTCTAGAGAAATTGCTAGGCGAGGTAAGTGCGCCGGCCCTAGACGCTAGCACCATCCAAAAAGCCCTTACCGCCAAATTACCGATTTTAATAGCACTCCGCAAATGGGTTCTCGGAATATCTGGGGCCTGTTTAGCTGAGGTAGGCCCAAACAACACAAACACCGCTCTTAATCAGTCGGTCCATCGGGCAACCGCACGCACGGAGTGAAGGAGCGATCTCTGGCAAAATTTTTCAATTCCTAAAGAAGTTGAGGGAGGAAAATGCAAAGAAGGGTGAATGGGATCCCCAAGCTGCATTTTCCTAGCAGCAAACCATGTGGCACGCAGCAAGCGACACAATGCAGGCTACGAACAGTAACTCCCAGGGCCAAACTCTTCGTAAATCTTTGGTGGAGTGCATCCTTCTCACGTGCAGAGGTTCGTAGAGTTACTCACTCTAAAGCCTGTTTGCATCCCTGGAGCTTTCAGCGCCGGCAACTAAAGTGTGCGGTAGGATGGCGAACCTGAGGAGGACAAGTACTGTAGTCACGTGAACAGGTGTCAAACGGAAAATGCTGTGGCTTTTGCTATGATAGAGCGGCTGCATAACATTCACCGTGAAGTACGCAAGTCAGTCCAGGTCGCGTTTGTCCCAACAGAGGGAGTAGTAGTCTACTATGCTGTAACTCAGGACGCTCTGAGGCGTGTGACTGCGACCGTACGGCGGAGCAGCCTCTTCTTTTGTCGGATACAATTGTTTAACAGAGGCGACGGCAGCGACCTTAATGCGAGTGCCGTTTAAAGGTGTATGCAACCGTGCGGGCGTAGCGACTGCGTTCGGGCGTTAATCGTCACCATCTAGATCGCACTTCTCAGTAGGAGGGTCCTCGGAGACGCACTCTTCTATGGGAACACTGCTCTAATCGTTATTCAGCTCCATGCTCTGAATTGCTGTGGCAAAATCCGGGGGCAGTGGGTGTTGCAACGTTGCATAGGGTGTTCTCCGCCTTCCAGCGCCAAGTTCTCGCTGCGCAAACCTCATACTACATAGATCACGACTACCGCCAACCACCCAAAGGCAGGTGGTCAAATAAGGGCACCAGCCGCGTGTTTGAGGAGTATCTGCGGTACTTTCGGCTTATACAATGCAAAATTAGTCGCAAGGGCTCGTCTTTTCCCCTTATTTAGAATGTGTTTGTAACGCAGCAGCTCCCTTCTAGACCCGACGCCCTTCTGCCTCTTTAGTCTATGCTGAAACACCATTGCCTGATCGCACGGTGGAAGTGGTTGTTGGCAGCTAGTGGCGTTGGTCAACAGCAGCAGCCTTGCACGCGCAGCTTGCAGCATTTTGGGGAAGTATGATGGAGGCGCACGAAGGCCAGGAAAGGCCCTGCGACTATCGGCACTAGGCAGCAACGTTTGATCAAGGCAAGTTGGTATTGGCGAATGTTTTAGCTTTGCGATGAGCACAGGCTAGTGGGCAGCCAAAGAGCTCATCGTGCTGTAGCCACGGTGAGCTCTTTGGCTGCCATGCTGTAGGCAGGGCCCTTTGTTGTTTGTACTCGAGCTAAGGCTTTTGCTTACGTTATATATTTACTCCCTGCGTGGACGTCACCCTACCATTTATATCAGGGTTCTAAAACGGTTAAGCAATCACCCACCTTGCCTCGAACTTCTCCTCCAAGACGGCAGCAACGTCATGCTGGGGAGGAGCAACTGGAGTATCCTGGGGTCCTCGGGACACCAGTAACGATGTAGAGATGTCATCCAAAAACGGAGAATATCAGGTAAAGTCGCATGACAATGCCCAAGCCAAGCTTGCTTCTGAAAGGCGCTTGCCTGGTAGGCCATTACTCAAGAGCATCTACGGGCTTTCGTTTATACATTGGCAGCAACTACGGCAGCACGAACAACGCGCCTTTGCTTTGGACGACTTACATCCTTTATAGGCGGTTGTTGTTGCACAGGTGAAGATATGCCCATATCTTTATATCTGCTTGCTTTTCGGCACTTCGTACTGTCCCGCAGTGATCTACACCAACGCACGCTACCTACGCAAAGCTGGCGCCTCAAATGCTCTGCACTGGTGCAGCTCGTCTTACAGTTGAGGTTGTAGTGCTCGAGGTCAAGCGCTGCTCCCGAAACACGCAGGCGCCGAAGATATGTAAAGCGGCCAAGTGGCCCACGCGATTGCGCAGGGTCTGCCGCAGCCTTGTGCAGTAGCAGCAGCAACGATGTGTAGCATCTACAGATGCCAAGATATCTGTAGCATTTGCGAATGCTCCTCGTCTCGCTTTGATTGTTTATTTTTTCTGGTGTTCTGGACGCCAACTCCCTTGGCGTGTTCCGCCCGAAGTGCATCCAACTGTTGTTGCACGCCCCAACGCACAAGGGCTTGTGCACCTTGGGGAGCAAGGTGGGGCAGGTGCTGCATGGTCTGTCTGCGGCTTACGAATGCATGCCTATTTGCGTGCAAACTGGGCTACCGTGGGCCAAGTAAGTGCACAAGAATTATCCACGGTGTTGGGGCATGCATTTAATGAGTACTTGGGCAAGCCAGCCTGCGGGGTTGCCCAGCAGCAGGAAGGCAGGATAGGCCACATCTCCAGGGTTTTTCTACACTTGCTGCGGCTGCTGGTTTCTTTCGCCTCCACCGCTGTAACTTTCAATGCCGTGGCTAAGCAAGCCTGCCGGAATGTGTTTTATGCACCGGGGAAACCCATAATGTGGCACATTTGTGTGTCCTAGCATTTGTGCAGCCGAAAGGGTCTAAAAAGTAGCAAGCAAACACCGAGAAATGCACTGCTAGCTGAAACGGGTGAAAAGGCCATAGAAATAAGGAAAGCCTTCTGCCATCACACGAACCAAGGGCCGAAATCGGCGCTCAGTCGGAATCATTTACATATACTTTCGACTATTTGTAAGATAACCCAGACGAAACACACTGGAGATGGTTTGCTCTGAACTTCCCTGCAGCGTCTCTTTGGGAGTGGCAAAGACACGTTACAGGACTTCAATGTAGAGCTCACCCCGTGCCGAGACGTTGCGGGATTTCAGTGTAGATCTTATCCCGTCTTGGTCCTTGCGGGGCTTCTGTCACCGATTGCGAAGAAAAGCACTCAGGACTTCGCATCTAGTAACCGCTTTTGTTGCATCGGGCACGCCGCCTATGATCATCGTGCCGAGGTGACCCTGCAGTTCGGGGGGAGGGAGCTGGCGCACCATGCAGCTATCCTTGGTGGCATAGCCAATACAAATGATTCCTTTAATCAGCAAACCTCTGCATATTCTGTGAGTAAAATAGACGAAGTGAGTGGTTCAAGAGCTCGAGTAGGGCAATTTACCCAGATGAGCCCTGTGGTGGTGGAAACACATTGTGCCAAGGGCAGACGTGTGCGCAGTTATTTTATAGAGGCATCACTTAATTTATTAATCTTACTTCCTTGCTTTAAGCCTGCATTTTTGTTGAAGCCAGATGGGCAAGGTTCCAGAGGACGTTTATCTTTTGCAGGCCTCGCTCGGAGTTTGTGGTTCTGCAGTCCAGACTGCACACACCCAGCATATGTACAACGCGGCATCAATTTGAACGATAAAGGGGGCCATTACTTACATTTCTAGCTCTTTTAAGTGCTTCGATTTTTCGCCTCGCTCGGCGCTTTGGCCAGTGTGCCCGAGGGTAGTTGCAGGGCTTTGAATTTCAAGTCCCATGAACTAAGAATCGTTGCGCTGTAATAACGAAGACAATGGGGAACACCTGCTGCTACGTGACTAGCAATGAGCCGGTGGGTTTATAGACCTAAGTAGCAGTTGTGCCGCCTTTAAGCACTGAACTATTGTGACACATGAAACGGCGAAGCATCTGGCCGCCCAGCAACCTTGTTCCAACGTTGTTGGCCAACAGCCCACGCACGCCATGGAGACTATTCGTTCTCGGAGAACATCGCCATGGATGAGACCCCTGCTTATCCATCATCTCACTAAGTACAATGAAAAGAAATAATCCCTGAGTCTGACACTTTAGAAATGAGCTTCGGCGCTTTTTCGCCGCCCTCCTAAGGCAGCGCAGTAGAAGCCACGTACTTCCGCGCAGCCGACCGTTGCTCAGCAGAATCCCATCCCTTACAAGAGATAACAGGGGAGCCCTTTGGCCAGGTTTCTACGCACGGGAGGCGGTCCCGCTCCAGCGATGTACCATAGGCAGTGTCTGCATCTAGCGCAGTGACGACCTCGGCATAAATCCACTAAAGCACCATCATATAAATATCGAAATGCATCGCTAACTTTGCTTTCAGGGGAGTGAAGCTGCTCTGAAGGAGTTTATGACGCGCTTAGAATCCGGTGGTCTACCAATCCAAGTCGTTTTGCAGGTCGGAATGCGGTGCCTTAAAAGCCCATGATAAGCAAATGCGCAAAGCACCAGTAGGACGGGAATTGCAAATTTCCTGTCCATCTCATTTACGCGTTCCCATTGAATTCCATCTAAACTTCGGAGGTTCTCGGTGGGGGCCTGGCGGTTTCTCATCTCTTTTTGCGGCACAGAATGGCAACAACATGGCATGCACTCTGGGCCTGGAGATGACCACGCACTCCCTAGTGATCCGCTGTGGAGTGAGCTTCCTTTTGCCCTCCTGGGTTTCCTAAGACCGGATGAATGGG